AAAAAAAAACATTCACAGTGCTCCATGTACCAAAAAGACAGTTACAGAAGAACACATTACATTTTTCCATGTCATCAAAGAAAAGAAGCCTTTACACAGAAACTTAAGTTTGGTAATAAAATATATACATTTCATACATAACAAATTAGTATTTAAGTACATTGAGATAAAAAACGAGAAAATATTTTGGTACAAATATTAGACTTAGGGAAAATAAAGCCCATAACCGATTAGTGCAGCAATGTCAGAATAATGTTGAGTAAACTAGTTATGGTACATATATAAAATATGTAAATATGGCACTTAGCATCTGTTATATATAATTCAGAGTTTACAAGGAAATCTGATGAATGGAATAATCTCCTCCTCCTTTAGCTTCCAAAAATAGATGTAGTTTCCATGAGCAGGAACAAAAGATGAAAACTAGATTTCGCAAACAGCCACTATTGCATCAGCAGTGAGTAATCACCTCCTTTGGCTCAGAAGAAAGTACTTTCCCATTTTCACTTTGGAGCTCGTCTGAGAGAAGTCACTATTTTACACCCATTTTACACATCTTCCCTCACCGGAAAATCTTTAACAAAGAGAAAATGAAAGATTAAATTATTGGAGAGACACAGTAACAAAGCCAAATGTCAACAAACACTAGCAAAACTGTTAGTGGCTGATAAAAAGCTGCAGCAAGAGCAACAGAGTCACTCTGGTTTAACCAGTAATGCAGTTCACGTGGCATTAGGAAACTCACTGTGAGACGTTCCACGACGGCACCAAATCAGCAAAATTCCAAGCACCAACACAACAGGGACCCCTTTACACAATATCCTGAAATAGGGGTCTGGGTTGGGGTCTTTGCTGGTACCTGACTTTGAACTCATCGCTGGAAATAAAAAAAATTATAATAATTGATATTATGAAATGTTCCACAGTGACCTGTATAATAAGTGTTACTGTCTTTGCATTTAATATCAGAGCACTTTTATTTTAAAAGTACCAGGCAACCCCTCAGATCAATCTTTGCTGAAATAACAATTTAAAATGAATGATTACCAGATGGGCATGTGACATTGACTTGACATCTAGGCTCTGAGAGGAAGTTGCTTTCAGTCTCAAGTCTACTGTGAAAATAGTGGACGTCAGTTTCTTCATCCAGGCTGTATGTGGTAGAGATGTTAGTCGTGGTTGAATTTGACAGACACGTTCCATTGTTCAAAGTCCACTGAATGTTAGGCTCTTTGTAGCTGTCAAGCTTTACAACACATTGGTAAACGTTTCCACCATTTGGGTGAGTCTCACTGTGCTGAAAAATAGGTGTCCCTGGTGAGAGATGATTTTTGTTAAAATAATGAAATTTCACGAGTATTCAAAAATTGCTGGTAATCACAATGTACAACTTACCACAAACCACAAGATTCACAAAAAAACATCTGTATTGTGGAGAATAAAAACGACAACTGTATTTTCCCTGGTCTTCTTTTGTGATGTTTTTTAATAGAACAGAACAATTACTGCTGTCCTTATGAAAAAATGTTTCATATCGGTGGGACAGGTTTCCTTTAAAATCTAAGGTCCCATCATTATAGCTGAAGATCAATTTTGCCTTCACCCCTCTCTCCTCATCTTCTTCCACTTGCCACTTGAAGTCCTTATTCAAATCTCTATTAGGGCAGTCACATGGCAGGAGCACATCGTCTTTCTCAAAGCCTTTGACAGTGACAGTGATGTCATCACCTGCAACAGAAAAGATGACCAATCATAAGTCCAGTTATAAGAATCACAATGTCAGTTTTCCTGCTGCATTAAATTATCAAAAGTAAACTTGACAAAATAGGAAAACACAGAACTTGCTGCTTCACAAAAGTTCAATAATCACAGAGAAACTGAGGAACAACTTGTGGGCTTTACAGCGCTGCTGTTAGAGTCATTTTCAGATGAAAGGATTTCTCGTGGGGATCCAACCAGTGACTCCCCACTGTGCATTAAATGTAGGATTTGCTGTATCTTCTAAAAGACTTGGCATAATCATAAAAACACAATTCAGTGATTTGAGTTCATCAATAGTACAAAAACAGCACAAAGTCAAGTGTTCTGAAGTGGCCGACCTCTTATTTGCAACCATCAATTTTATTTATTGAAAAATCTGGGCAGAAACATTTGGGGAAAATAGTAAAGATACCAATAAAGAGAACAAGAAACATATCTTTATATTGTTTTCTTTCATTGAAGAGTGTGGAAAGAGTGAATAAATGAAAGAATGCAGGAAATAAGTTATTCAGTTATGTAAATGATAATAAATCAAGTAAAATAAAAGTGTGTTGTGATTTCATATCAACTGTGTTTGAGTTAATGCCATCAGTCTGCTGTAGAAAGTTGTCAGTTCCTGTTTCACTTCTGGAGTTTATTTCTTTGACACTACAGAGCTGGTTTGTTATATTTATGTAGGTTATAGTGAGTATAATAAACTAAGTAAGTAACTAATAGTTAAAGCTGTA